GTCAAGGTTTAACCCCTAATAGGTGAAATTCAGGAAATATTGAATTTGTACTTTGACAACTTCCCTGAATGATTTATTGGTATTAATTTGTCAAACTACATGAGAATAAATGATTTCCACTTTTATTTGATAGAAATTTTGTAAAAAGTGACATTTCAGCCTACATGCCCAAAATTGAACTTTTTCAGTTGTTTCAATATTTTTACAAAAGTAGCATGCTTACTTTCTCTCTGACAGGTTTTTCTGATTTTCTTCTTGTGTTTGTGGTATCTAATGTAGATTTTTAACTCATTTTTGAACACTAAACATACAAAAAAAGTAGATAAAATCAGAATAAGAGTGCAAAATGTGCTGCTTTAATGGTCCTAGTCTAACGGTCAGTATGAAGCAAGTGAAAAATGAGGTTCTATGCACATACAAGTTGAATTCCTTTTAGCAGATTTCACTGAATCTGTATCAAAAGCACTTATTACTGGTTGTTTGACCTTGTCTGTTTCACAGACTATCTTTATTTTCTTTTGTTTGATAGCTAGTGGTTAAAATATTGGCCTTTTGAGGCTGAAATTTCATGCCGGTTTTAAAAAGTAAAGTAAATAACTTTGCATCAGATCATACTGTCTACATATATAGTTGAAAGTGACAGTCTTGTTACATCCAGGTTCCATGTTTTATCATATCTGAGCAAAGATTAGAGCAAAAAGAAGCATATCTCCATCTCCCATATCATTTATATGCTTTTTAATATGCAAATGTGGGGAACGAACTAAATTGACAACCTGTTTTTTTAAGCTTGACATTGCTGAAGACCATTTTATTCACATGTGTTATGCTATTTGAAACTTATATTTCCATTAAAAGTACATTTATAACATGTAAAAGGTTTTTTTATAACTTAGCAACTTCAGAAAATTGTGGTAAGTGAAAAATATTACATTTCATATAAGGCCTCACTTCATTTGAAAACCTCTATTTTTTGGCACAGGCCCATATGAAATTTACTTCTGGCCATTTTTTATAAGTCTGAAACATGAAGTATGCTATCTGTTGCTTTTAATAGGTGATAACTTATACATAGAGACATTAAAAAGTGTAAGTTTTGGTATATTTTGGTTTTTGGAAGCCCAAATTTGATAGTTGAAATTATTCTAATTCAACGCCACAATTCAGCACCCAAAGTTCAGATATAAAAAATGCCACAATTTTTATAATTGGTATCATATGGCTTAGAAACTTTGTAAACTGTTTCATAATACACTAAGCTTAAATCATGCCAAGTTTTATTAGAATTGGTCAAGGTTTAGACCCCTAATAGGCCAAAGACCACAATTAATGATCCCTCTTTTCGTTGTCCACGAATACAGTTCCTTTTAATTAGAGTGTATTTTTTCTAAATTTTTTTTCTTTCCCTTCCTCACTCATTTCTTAGATTTTTTTGGATGGAAATGAAAGAAGAGAGGTGAAATAAACTTTTGGATGTTGTATTTTAACTGATTTTGATATGGAAAGAGTGATTAGGCCAGGTGCAAAAAGGTGATATTTACAGTTTTCGGAACATCTCTTGACTTGTCCATAGGGGTATGGATGTGTATTAGCTAAATTTGTAAGATGCTGGGGAGCGATATTTCTGAATGTTTGATATATGTTTGGACTAGTACTGTACTTTACACACACAAAATATTTGACAAAAAGTTCCTTTTAATAAGAGTGTATTTTTTCTAATTTTTTTTCTTTCCCTTCCTCACTCATTTCTTTGATTTTTTTGGATGGAAATGAAAGAAGAGAGGTGAAATAAACTTTTGGATGTTGTATTTTAACTGATTTTGATATGGAAAGAGTGATTAGGCCAGGTGCAAAAAGGTGATATTTACAGTTTTCGGAACATCTCTTGACTTGTCCATAGGGGTATGGATGTGTATTAGCTAAATTTGTAAGATGCTGGGGAGCGATATTTCTGAATGTTTGATATATGTTTGGACTAGTACTGTACTTTACACACACAAAATATTTGACAAAAAGAACCGGTGCATTTTTTTTAATGAAACAAAACGTTATAAAGAACTAATAGAGAATTTAATTGTGGTCTGTGGCCACCTCCTGAGTGCACTCAGGACATACAATGTGCACCCAGGACCCTTTATAGTCATCGTATTTGCACACAGGATGGATGAATATATTCGTTACACGCTGCTTATTTAAGAGTTAAATTTTGGTAGAATTTGAAATCGAACTTAGATAGATATGTTAATTCTTATTAAATAATTAGGGCACATGTCACTGATGACACAACTACTGAGCCGTGAATTATCCAATCAACAAAATTGATTGGATTATCTTTATTGTTGTTTATGCATTGTGTTGTTAGTAGGAATACAGATCAAGGAATACTGGAAAAATGAATGTCATTATGAAAAAATGGAAAAAACATCACTTAAATACATAGAGATACAGAACAATCCATTAAATGAAGCTCACAATATATGGAAAAGCGTAAAAAACAATAGTAAAGATGTAAAGGCAGGAGAAATAAAAGCAAGAATAAGTACTCAAACGTACATATTCCAAGCCAAAAGAGCTAAGTTCGATCCGAAAGTTAACCCGATATGTACAATTTGTGAACAGGAAAATGAAGATCTAGAACATTTTATTCTACGCTGCAAAGAATTGGAGCAAATAAGATCTAAATGTTGCTCAAAAATCGAACAGACAATGGATGAAATTGATACCTCAACATACAAGAAGATCATACAACAAGGGAATTTACTGCAACTCATAATGGACTGTACTAGCAAGGACATAAACTGTTACTCAACTGTGTATGAAAACATTGAAACTCTGGCTAGAAATATATAACACACACACAATTATATAAATAAGAATTAGAACGCAATGATACCAATATTCTTTTTTAATTCAACGCTATTTATAGTGAGTGATCAGATAAACTGTTAGCTTGAAAGTAAATTATAAATGGTGTTTCACCGATTCTTTTTTTTACCATGGAACAATGCAATTAAAGTCTATTGTAATATATCTAGAGATATGAAAATACGAAAGAATTATTCTTCTTAATTTTTGAAATTAGAATAAAACTAAACTTTTTATTGCACGAAATTTTAATAAAATACGAAAATCTATACAAAGAAAATAATAACGATATTTTTTTTATCTATTAAGTTAATGAATTGAAATGAATTGAATGAAAATTTCCCATCTATATATGTAGATTTCTCATATTTCTCGACTGGCTTTAATTATTACAAACAAAAAGAAAAATGTTTATTTAACGGTTTTTTTCTAAAACAACATATCTTCATTGTTCTTTATTTTTCAAAAGACATATTGATTTTGTTTGTTTGCCAAGCTTACTTGTATGAGCTTAGCACCATCATTACACCCCAGTTCTATTGTTATACTTCATAGTTTCTATTTCTGAAACAAGTGTAAATTGAATAGATCTATTGTTACGAATAACAAATGATTTTGACCACAGGGTGTGACGAGCGGGGTTTCTGGAAACCCCTGCTTCTACATCCCGCAAACAAAGTCCATTGTTATTCGTTACAATAGAAATTGATTTTTTTAAATAGCATGAACATAAGAAACTACTTATAGTGTTCACTACAAATTGTTTCAAGATATTAAAAAAACACATTTTAGGAAATTCCAATTGCGAAAAAAATTAAGCATCTATTTTGAATACAAAAATAATCCTTTAAATACTCCTTTGCTTGAAGGTAATCTTTTTTATCCCAGTCATATGTCTCTATTCTAAAGCATTGGTCTTTAAAAAAAATGGGGATTCTAACTCCCGGGACCCCCCCCCCTTCCCCCGTTTACCCATTGGCCGATCTGAGGATGGGGATTCCGCGGTTTGGACCCGACTTTTATTTAAAAGATCAATGCATTTGAATGGTTGGACCCCCCTTTTTTCTCTTGAGTTGGGAACCTCAAGCTGGATCAGCCCCTGTTTGCCCCCAAAAAGGGAGTTCCTAAATATTAAATCTGTATTTTTGTATGTTGAGCGTGTCTGATAGTCGGGTCACACCTATCCCTTAGTATGTCCGAATATGAATGTTTGTTTATTTTGAGAAGAGGGGGGGTGGTTATAAAACCGTAAGATATAAAATACAGTTATGATTACCTTTATTACACTGATACAGGTAAGTACTTTGGGTTATAATATAGCCTTTATCTTAAGTCTCTTCTACCAAATCCAACGCTTGCCACAAAATGTCGTCCGTCTTATACCCGTCCATATTGACAACTGCATACAAGGAGCATGATGTATTTTTTGTTTGTAATAAGAATACACGAAACGGTCAACCTTGACCCGCTGATCCATTTTAGCACTTGGATTTAACGGGAATATGCAAAACAACTTTGACATTTGTAAAATATACTCACTTGTCAAAGTTTGAACAAAGATACCATAAGAAAGGTTACTAGTGGGGTTTCATGTAATAAAAAAAAAATCTTATAAATCATGGTTTGATATTGTCAATAAATATGCTATCGGTTTTTTTTTTCATTTAATAATCAATGTTAACAAATAATGGGTTTAGAATGGGGTGTAAGTTAGTTATACACCTCGGGATACGGCGTGTCTGGATAAGAAACCCCTCCTGCCTCCGGCCGACGGGGTTTCTTATCCAGACACACCTATCCCTCGGTGTATAACTATTACCTGATCACTCCTAGTTATTAAAGATCAAACGACCTAATCAACATGATAATTGGCATTCAATACAATCCTCGGTCATCCCTGACATATTTCACGCGTGCCGATGAAAACTTCAATAACTCCTTAAATGTTAAAATAATTTTATCAAAACAAAAATCATTAGATGAAGAATTAAATTTTCTATCGAATGCATACCTTCACCACTCACTAAAACATATATTTCATGTCCTGAGTGCACATTGTATGTCCTGAGTGCACTCAGGAGGTCCTGAGCGGTGTTTAGACGTACCGTTTTAAATGTGATATACATTGTGTATATATATATATAAACAAGTCTAAATTGAAAACAACGTTCAAACCTATGGTTGCGTTGGATAAAAACCGCAATTTTTATACGTGTGCATGCAAAACAAATTTCTTGTCAGAGGGATCTAAATACAGCACAAACAACATTTTCCAAAAGACCAAAAAAGTGAAAAAGTATATTTTAACAAAACGCATTTGACTAACAGGTCGAACAACAAATGTTCTTAAACCCTGCTGACTGCCATTGGCGATTGCCAAATAAACGGATCACAAGGTGTAATAAATGGATCTTAACTATAAATTTAATACCATACAGAAAACAATAAACTTGCGGCAAAGATGGTATACCGCAAACAAAGGTGAAAGATTTTTTGTACACCATATATATCCGGATTTCGACAATTAATGTTAGGAATCGAAACGATATTTGGAAGGCCATATAATTTACCTCAATTTAGGATAGACTCTTGAATTTTGAGGAGTCAAAATAGGATGAACGGATCATATAAACCCGAAGGCAAATATAATACAAGCCCAAACGAAAAAATATAAACAAGTCTAAATTAAAAACAACGTTCAAACCTATGATTGCGTTGGATAAAAACCGCAATTTTTATACGTGTGCATGCAAAACAAATTTCTTGTCAGAGGGATCTAAAAACAGCACAAACAACATTTTCCAAAAGACCAAAAAAGTGAAAAAGTATATTTTAACAAAACGCATTTGACTAACAGGTCGAACAACAAATGTTCTTAAACCCTGCTGACTGCCATTGGCGATTGCCAAATAAACGGATCACAAGGTGTAATAAATGGATCTTAACTATAAATTTAATACCAAACAGAAAACAATAAACTTGCGGCAAAGATGGTATACCGCAAACAAAGGTGCAAAGATTTTTTGTACACCATATCCGGATTTCGACAATTAATGTCTCTTCAGTGATGTTAGGAATCGAAACGGTATTTGGAAGGCCATATAATTTACCTAAATTTAGGATAGACTCTTGAATTTTTAGGAGTCAAAATAGGATGAACGGATCATATAAACCCGAAGGCAAATATAATACAAGCCCAAACGAAAAAATATAAACAAGTCTAAATTGAAAACAACGTTTAAACCTATGATTGCGTTGGATAAAAACCACAATTTTTATACGTGTGCATGTAAAACAAATTTCTTGTCAGAGGGATCCAAATACAGCACAAACAACATTTTCCAAAAGACCAAAAAATTGAAAAAGTATATTTTAACAAAACGCATTTGACTAACAGGTCGAACAACAAATGTTCTTAAACCCTGCTGACTGCCATTGGCGATTGCCAAATAAACGGATCACAAGGTGTAATAAATGGATCCTAACTATAAATTTAATACCAAACAGAAAACAATAAACTTGCGGCAAAGATGGTATACCGCAAACAAAGGTGCCAAGATTTTTGTACACCATATCCGGATTTCGACAATTAATGTCTGTTCAGTGATGTTAGGAATCGAAACGGTATTTGGAAGGCCATATAATTTACCTCAATTTAGGATAGACTCTTGAATTTTGAGGAGTCAAAATAGGATGAACGGATCATATAAACCCGAAGGCAAATATAATACAAGCCCAAACGAAAAAATATAAACAAGTCTAAATTAAAAACAACGTTCAAACCTATGATTGCGTTGGATAAAAACCGCAATTTTTATACGCGTGCATGCAAAACAAATTTCTTGTCAGAGGGATCTAAATACAGCACAAACAACATTTTCCAAAAGACCAAAAAAGTGAAAAAGTATATTTTAACAAAACGCATTTGACTAACAGGTCGAACAACAAATGTTCTTAAATCCTGCTGACTGCCATTGGCGATTGCCAAATAAACGGATCACTAGGTGTAATAAATGGATCTTAACTATAAATTTAATACCAAACAGAAAACAATAAACTTGCGGCAAAGATGGTATACCGCAAACAAAGGTGCAAAGATTTTTTGTACACCATATCCGGATTTCGACAATTAATGTCTCTTCAGTGATGTTAGGAATCGAAACGGTATTTGGAAGGCCATATAATTTACCTCAATTTAGGATAGATTCTTGAATTTTGAGGAGTCAAAATAGGATGAACGGATCATATAAACCCGAAGGCAAATATAATACAAGCCCAAACGAAAAAAAATAAACAAGTCTAAATTGAAAACAACGTTCAAACCTATGATTGCGTTGGATAAAAACCGCAATTTTTATACGCGTGCATGCAAAACAAATTTCTTGTCAGAGGGATCTAAATACAGCACAAACAACATTTTCCAAAAGACCAAAAAATTGAAAAAGTATATTTTAACAAAACGCATTTGACTAACAGGTCGAACAACAAATGTTCTTAAACCCTGCTGACTGCCATTGGCGATTGCCAAATAAACGGATCACAAGGTGTAATAAATGGATCCTAACTATAAATTTAATACCAAACAGAAAACAATAAACTTGCGGCAAAGATGGTATACCGCAAACAAAGGTGCCAAGATTTTTGTACACCATATCCGGATTTCGACAATTAATGTCTGTTCAGTGATGTTAGGAATCGAAACGGTATTTGGAAGGCCATATAATTTACCTCAATTTAGGATAGACTCTTGAATTTTGAGGAGTCAAAATAGGATGAACGGATCATATAAACCCGAAGGCAAATATAATACAAGCCCAAACGAAAAAATATAAACAAGTCTAAATTAAAAACAACGTTCAAACCTATGATTGCGTTGGATAAAAACCGCAATTTTTATACGCGTGCATGCAAAACAAATTTCTTGTCAGAGGGATCTAAATACAGCACAAACAACATTTTCCAAAAGACCAAAAAAGTGAAAAAGTATATTTTAACAAAACGCATTTGACTAACAGGTCGAACAACAAATGTTCTTAAATCCTGCTGACTGCCATTGGCGATTGCCAAATAAACGGATCACTAGGTGTAATAAATGGATCTTAACTATAAATTTAATACCAAACAGAAAACAATAAACTTGCGGCAAAGATGGTATACCGCAAACAAAGGTGCAAAGATTTTTTGTACACCATATCCGGATTTCGACAATTAATGTCTCTTCAGTGATGTTAGGAATCGAAACGGTATTTGGAAGGCCATATAATTTACCTCAATTTAGGATAGACTCTTGAATTTTGAGGAGTCAAAATAGGATGAACGGATCATATAAACCCGAAGGCAAATATAATACAAGCCCAAACGAAAAAATATAAACAAGTCTAAATTGAAAACAACGTTCAAACCTATGATTGCGTTGGATAAAAACCGCAATTTTTATACGCGTGCATGCAAAACAAATTTCTTGTCAGAGGGATCTAAATACAGCACAAACAACATTTTCCAAAAGACCAAAAAAGTGAAAAAGTATATTTTAACAAAACGCATTTGACTAACAGGTCGAACAACAAATGTTCTTAAACCCTGCTGACTGCCATTGGCGATTGCCAAATAAACGGATCACAAGGTGTAATAAATGGATCTTAACTATAAATTTAATACCAAACAGAAAACAATAAACTTGCGGCAAAGATGGTATACCGCAAACAAAGGTGCAAAGATTTTTTGTACACCATATCCGGATTTCGACAATTAATATCTCTTCAGTGATGTTAGGAATCGAAACGGTATTTGGAAGGCCATATAATTTACCTCAATTTAGGATAGATTCTTGAATTTTGAGGAGTCAAAATAGGATGAACGGATCATATAAACCCGAAGGCAAATGTAATACAAGCCCAAACGAAAAAATATAAACAAGTCTAAATTGAAAACAATATTCAAACTTATGATTGCGTTGGATAAAAACCGCAATTTTTATACGTGTGCATGCAAAACAAATTTCTTGTCAGAGGGATCTAAAAACAGCACAAACAACATTTTCCAAAAGACCAAAAAAGTGAAAAAGTATATTTTAACAAAACGCATTTGACTAACAGGTCGAACAACAAATGTTCTTAAATCCTGCTGACTGCCATTGGCGATTGCCAAATAAACGGATCACTAGGTGTAATAAATGGATCTTAACTATAAATTTAATACCAAACAGAAAACAATAAACTTGCGGGAAAGATGGTATACCGCATACAAAGGTGCAAAGATTTTTTGTACACCATATCCGGATTTCGACAATTAATGTCTCTTCAGTGATGTTAGGAATCGAAACGGTATTTGGAAGGCCATATAATTTACCTCAATTTAGGATAGACTCTTGAATTTTGAGGAGTCAAAATAGGATGAACGGATCATATAAACCCGAAGGCAAATATAATACAAGCCCAAACGAAAAAATATAAACAAGTCTAAATTGAAAACAACGTTCAAACCTATGATTGCGTTGGATAAAAACCGCAATTTTTATACGCGTGCATGCAAAACAAATTTCTTGTCAGAGGGATCTAAATACAGCACAAACAACATTTTCCAAAAGACCAAAAAAGTGAAAAAGTATATTTTAACAAAACGCATTTGACTAACAGGTCGAACAACAAATGTTCTTAAACCCTGCTGACTGCCATTGGCGATTGCCAAATAAACGGATCACCGATGTAATAAATGGATCTTAATTATAAATTTAATACTAAACAGAAAACATTTTCCAAAAGACCAAAACAAGTGAAAAAGTACATTTTAACAAAACGCATTTGACTAGCAGGACGAACAACGTATGTTCTTAAACCCGGCTGACTGCCATTGGCGATTGCCAAATAAACGGATCACCAGATGTAAAAAAATGGATCTTAACTATTAATTTAATATCAAACAGAAAACAATAAACTTGCGGAAAAGATAGTATATATATATATGTATGTATAACAGTTCCTTAAATGATGAAATACAATAGATAGATACAAAAAATAGATCTAGGCTGGTTAAGACTTGGTCGAGTATGGTTCAGACTAGGTCGAGTATGGTTAAGACTAGGTCGAGCATGGTTCAGACTTGGTCGAGAATAGTAAGACTATGTCGAGTATGGTTCAGACTCGTATAAAAATGGTTAAGTACTGGTCGAGTACAAGTTCAGACTGTTAAGTATGGTTCAGACTACAGTCGAGTAATTTATATATTTATATACCGGTTAACCGCTATTTTTATCGGTAAACCGCTATTTAAATGTCGGTTAACTGCTGTTTTTATCGATTAACCGCTATTTATATGTCGGTTAACCGCTAATTTTATCGGTTAACCGCTTTTTTTATCGGTTAATCGCTATTTATATATCGGTTAACCGCTATTTTTATCGTTTAACCGCTATTTCTTATTGTTAATCACTTCTAATTAATCGTCTATGCACAAAACAACGAATTATTAGAAATAAGTAAGTGATTGATGGATGAAGTTTATCGCTTAACCTGTTTAAACAGTAATTTGAATTGCTTACTCCTCCCATGTTGGTCAATAATTCCCACCCAACTTATAGAATTGTTTGACGAACGCCCACGTGTTTCGAGTGTTGAGCACGTGGTAATATTATAGCACATAACACTATATTGGACGTCAGTAATCTTTATTTTATTTATGACAAAACGTATTGCTTTGCATGAATTAAACACCAAAGAATGGATTCATTTACCTCTCAGCTTCCCCTCTTCTACTGCCCTCGTCTCCTATTTTATATTTACGCCGACATAACCACGCGGTAGACGCTTTCCTGGTGGTAGAATTTACAGTTTCCCCCTCTTTATTCCTAAATATCATAATTTCTGGATCGATTTGTGAATTATTGTTTGTTTTGTACATTCTTTTTATAATATATGGAAAAAATATTATGCACTGGTTGTTTTTGGCTTTTTAAGCATCGTTAACGCTTCCACAAGAGACCAAATGACACAGAAATTAACACCTATAGGTCACCGTACGGCCTTACCGTATAGTTAGCTATAAAAGGCCTCGAAATGAAAAATGTAAAACAATTCAAACGAGAAAAACTAACGGCCTAATTTATATACAAAATAATGAACGAAAAACAAAATCGTAACACAGCAACAAACGACAACCATCGAATTACAGTCTCCTGACTTGGGACAGGCAGATACAGAATGTGGTGGGGTTAAACTAGAATACATTTTGCAGAATATTTCTGAAGAGCTATTTTCTTGAATTTATATCACTGGAATTTTTAAGAAGCGGTTTTTTGTTTGGGTAAAACACATTTTACTATCACATGAACCCAGAATCCTTCATGTAATGATATATTTAAACTAAAACCATATACTGTGACCTCTAAGAGTCTAGTGGTTATTCGTGTCATTGGATTGCTGTCTAAATGACGTATACCACTGTCTCTAATTATTCATACAGAAAAGTATAAGAAGAATGCTCTCAGAATTATGAGAATAAAATGTTTCTTTGGAAATGGTTAAGATATGTTATAAACCAAAAAACCATTGGATGGTAATAAAATAGATGCATATGTTTGGGGCTCTTTATAGCTTGCTGTTCGTTGTGAGCCAAAGCTCCGTGTTGAAGACCGTACTTTGACCTATAATGGTTTAATTTTATAAATTTTGACTTGGATGGAGAGTTGTCTCATTGGCACTAGTACTCATACCATGCACATCTTATATCTATAGAATGTCCAACGGGAGTTTACAATACATTTTAAGGCACAAGTAACACGATACCGAATGGCATATCACTCGATTTCTAAAATATTTTGCACACTTGTACTTTGATCCGAGTTACATCGGAATATGAAATAAAAATGAGGGTCACCATTTTTGTTTTCTTATAATTTTCATAGGAAAACGTCAATTTTGGGGACATAGGACAATGTTCACTTTAGGCCAAATGCGGCCCTGAATTTCAGCTTTATCGTAAAATTTCAAAATCGCCAGAATTTGGTTCTCAAATTGATCTTTTTCAAAAGATTTACTTCCTTGATAAAAGAAATCTCTTTATAAGAATGCATTTTTTGCTTCAAAATCAGCACATTTTTTATATTTTGTTAAAATACGATGATTTTGTGAATTTTCCGGATCTATAAGCTTGAGAAAACCCTTGGCTGCAACCTAGGATTCAAAATGTTCTGTAACCAAGAGTTGCGAATGATGATATTGAATCCCTAGACACAAAACTTTCTAGATTTTGGATGGCGGCCAAAGTAAATTATGCTAAAAAATGTTAAGAATTATTGAAAATTTGACCAAAACTGACGTTACAACTCAAATAATGCATACTTAAAGAGTCAATACTTCGTCATATTTAATATGATGTGTCAAAATGAAGTTATTTTGTATTAATTATAATATCATAACTATTTCTATGTGATATTTGTAGTATTATGGCCTGATTAAAAAAAAAATCAAAATCTTAGGGCCAATTTTAATCCTTCGTGAACTTACATGGATATATAGGGAAAATGCCTTTTTTCGACTCATCTATTTAGATTTTTCATTGTATGGCTATTTTCTTAAATACGGAGAAAGACTAGACTAACATTATATCCGGGATTGTATACTGATTGCATGCATGTATAAAAATACTAATGTCACCATCCCTTTTTTTTTTATAGATAAATTGCTTCAAAGTTGATCAATCAATACGCTTAGAATTTGACCGAAAACGTGTATCAGTAACGTTATTGAATACAGAAAAACGTTATTCTTACTCAGAGGTTTTGAAAAAAATATATGTCGGGATTTGACAGGTGTTTATTTTAGTTTTATTTCCCCTGTCGTTTTTCGTAAATTTTATAGTTATTCAATATAAATTTCTACTGATTTAATATATTTCGTCCTACACAGGGATATTTCACTATCGTGTTTAATCCACACGAATTTCGTCTGAAGAACTCGTACCAAATTTCACATATTTTCACACTCATAATTTTTTACTGGCCTGATTTTTCAGATCATTGTCAGATCTCATGCATGTTAAAATGCAACACAAAAGTATATGAAAGAAACTCAAATCTAGCTTTATTGCCAGATAAATATATATGGGATGATAACTCAGTCTCAGCGTTTCAAGATGCTATAAATTCAAATGAAATCAAAAATTTTATTAGAGAGTATAAAGATAAAATTTACGACCAAGATTCAATTAATAATGCAGCAGAAGATTGAAATAATATTTTCCTAAAAGCTGCAGATTTATCACTTAAGAAAATTATTAGAAAACCAAAGGAAAGCAAGAAGAAGAAAATTAAAAAGAAAAGAGAACGGCAAGATCAAGATATAATTAATTTAAAACAAAACTTAAATCGAAAATACAGATTAATGCAAAATCACAACATAGATCCTTATATACGTGGGTCCTTTTTTAAATGCCTGAAATTGTATCGAAAGCAAAGAAGAACAAAAATAAGAAAATTCAAACAAGACATCATGAATAAACTTGATAATTTATATGATCAAAATCCCAAAGCCTATTGGCAACTATTAGATAAGATTAAAAATATCTCAAATAATAGTCGAAACAACTCTGAGAATACTATCAAACCATCTGAATGGCAAGAATACTTTCAAAAATTTAATACGAATGACAATACAGTGATGATTTGATTAAGAAGAAACTTGAATCATTTCATAATAATAATGTTTTTAATGAACTTGACTACTTGATAACACCTGAGGAAATAGAAAAGGCAATAAAAGGTCTTAAGCATTCTAAAACAAGTGGATTTAGTATGATCTCGAATGAAATGATAAAAAAATAGCCAAGCTGTTTGTATCCCTTTAATACAAAAACTCTTTAGTTTAGTATTTTCAAGTAGTATTTACCCAAAATTATGGAGTCAATGCTTTATCACCCCCATACAAAAGTCTGGTCCTAAACATGATCCAGCAAACTACAGGGGCATAACCATTGCAGACAACATAGGCAAGTTATTTAATCTTATTCTAAATAACAGGTTGCTATTTTTTTTTAAAACTAGACTGATATAATTAGAAGTGAGCAAATTGGTTTTACTAAAGGATGTCGCACAACAATACCATCATTCAAAAATTTGTGAAAAATAATTCGAAGCCTCTGTATGCATGCTTTGTAGATTTTAAGCGTGCATTTGATTCAGTTTCACATCTCCACCTTTTTTATAAATTTAAATGTATAGGTGTTGGAACAAAGTTTTATGACATTATAAAATGTATGTATGGAAACACAGAAACCTGTCTTAAAATAGACCAACACAGGACAAACCTATTTAAATCAAATATAGGAGTAAGACAAGGAAATCCTCTTAGTACCTGCCTCTTTAACATATATTTAAATGATTTGCCAACCTATTTTGACCAAACATGTGACCAAATCCCATTGAACACACACCCCTTAAATATTTTAATGTATGCTGATGATGCAGTTCTTTATCATGTTTATCATCATCTGAGCAAGGACTTCAAACTGATTGTGTTAATAAATTATTTGAATTTACAGTTGATTGTAAAATGACAGTTTACACCCAAAAGACCAAGGTTCTTGTATTTAACAAATCAGGACGACATAAAAATATTAAAATATCCTTAGGAAACCAGATTTTAGAATGTGTACCGAACTACACATACATAGGAATATATATACCACATAAGAAACAAAAAACATATGCATAACTTTATATCAAAAGAA